CATTTAAGGTTTTGAAAAAAAAAAATATTAAACCAACCTTGCAATTTAACAAATGCAATTAGGCATTAAAAAATTTACTAATACAACTAGAACGCCATAAATTTTCCCTTTTAAGAAATGTTACTAAACGTGTGCAGTTAACAAAAATTAAGTGGTTCAAGAACGCAAATGAGTTACAAACTTTATAAATTTGATTAATATAGTTTAATTTTTTGTTTTATAATTTTTAATAAAAATTTAAATAAATTAATTATTTTTAATAAAATTTGTCAACCATATGTGTTTCTGCAACATTTGAGAGAGGGCCTCCTGCAATAGTGTTTTTCCTTTTGATGCTACAAAAGAACCAATATAGTCCCGGTGAAGATGTTCTTAGTGTGCTTTATATTCTGCTTCAGCAACAAAACTAGCTTGTTCGAGCATAACAGGCACAACAAGTTTCTCGACAATCCTTTCAAGAGGGATAACACAACAGGCCGGAATTGGTAAAAGCCTTGTATTCGGTAAGATGAAAAGGCTGCTTAATACATGCTAAAGATACAAAACAGAAAACAACCTCACACAAAATATGCTTAGAAACTAAAACAAATCCAACTTAAACTAAAGCGACATCCAGATCTCTACAAAAAATAACAAACTGCAGCTTGCTTCAATCCTGACCAACCTCTTTTTAATCCAGGTAGCTACTAGCAAAAACCAGCGGATAAACTTTTACTCCTTAAGAACTTGTTCTTCCTCCTTTTTTCCCCCCTTAATAAAAGATTAACATACTTCTACATATCCATCTTTTTTAAAAACAAAAAAAAAAAAAAAGGAGAGACGTAGTTCTTGATCTCCCTAAATTCAGTTGTGTCCACAGGACAGTTCTAAGTTAAATACAATTAATTTAAGAAGTCTTATTTCTCATTCGCAGCACATAACTATTTATTCATGTAGCCAGCTAAAAGTCTTGAGGTGATTACAATAAAGCCTGTAAGGACCAATCTCTATGAATAGAGCACTAAGTGATAGAAGGCATGACTTCCTTTCATTGCCATAAAGGAGTCTCTGATGCCACTTCGGAGAAAAAGTAGTAAGTTCTTAGGGAACTGTCATTAAACAGCGCTAATCATTCATCAGAAGAAACAGGAACTGCATAACAGATCCGGCAACCTTAACCATTTACAATGAATGTACATTTATTTTTTGTCTTGTGAAAGATAGCACTCCTGATTTTCACAAGGTTAACAACAATGATATTTCAAGATTCATACCATGAGTGTATACATTTTGCACAGCTGGAGCTTGATTATTTGACAATTAGGTCATGTGGAACTCTAATTTCATCCTCAATACACTATCCAAATGAAGTTTTCAGAAAATATATATACAGGCAATGGAAGTCAGTAATGAGGTCAGCAATACTGAAACAAGGTTAACAGCATTGTTATCAAGAATACTAACACCTGATATCTTCTTCACTGTCGGTGCTGGTTTTCCAACAACCTGCAAAGGTAATAAAACAATAGGCCAGCAGTAAGCACTCATTATAAGAACGCAATGACTATAACAGAAAAGCCTCCACTGAGATGGAAAATCTTCTTTGCAATCAACTGGTGGTAAATCCTTAGATGTTTAATTCACCTTATTACGAACAGTGCAGAATCCACTGAATTGAAAGGTTGCTCCTAGTAGAGAATCTATCAAACTTCCACATAGTCCTGCCAATGCTGACAGAGGAATAACCAAAAGCTGCTTCAAAGCTACATCATATGAACATTTCGTGGTCAAAAATCCAAAGAGAACAAATGTCAATCCAATGACACTGCCAGCTACTATTGCCGCTAGGAGCCCTGCTGCTGTTACACCACCATTTGTGCCCCGCTGAACACGCTGGAAACCATAGAAACCATGTTAGATTCAGAATCTCTAAAAGTCAAGCGGCAATATAATCTTCTCTGCAATGAAAAATAATTAAGGGTGTAGCAATAATAAATGGCAACTTCGAATGTCAGTTTACTTCTGTAAGTAAAATGCAAGGAACAAAATCACTTCAGATTGAGGAACAAACAACTGGTAAGTAAAACACTAGAATTCACAATTAATCCAAGTACCGACCAACAGACCACATAGCAAGAAACATTGGATAAATGCTTGAACATTACTATGATATGTCTAGATATCTATGGCTACATATTTATATTTCAGATCTCTATCTTCTTTTACATACTGGTATATTCTGCATATACGAAAAGCTGAAACTCATTTCAAGTGAAAGCTTCCTATACAGCAGTAGTGAAACTTGCAAAAAAAACAGGCTAGCACTTATCAACAGATCTGATTAATCGGAAATAACGATTTACAACAAATGAGTTTCCCATAAATTAAAATCACAATCATAAGCTGATATATCAAGCTTCCACCAGATAACATTGATTAGTTACAGGAGGCGATATAACTAGCATTCTGTTTATAAAATTGAATATCACATAACAGTACACAAGATCAAACATATCATAACCAGTGACACATTTTCCTGGATATTTAATAAATTGAGAAGGTTATCCACCTTGAAAGTTGTGATTAACCGAGGCTGTGCATCACTTAGCACCCCAAGCTCTGAAGACCAAGTGTCTCCATTGCAACAGGCATAGTGACCAATAATACCACCAATGAGAGCAGTTATTGAAGTGGATTCCTTGGAGTCCAAACAATGATCCTGCTGACCCGTTAATTTCCAAATACTGAGAACTAGAATTGATGCAATCCCACTATTGATTATCACCTGTAACCTGAAGAAAAAATTGGGAGAATCCTGTCAAAGCGTCAGTGATGCAATATAGCCATTGTATTCTACTTTCATATCTCCAACCATTGGTGTACCAGCTTTTAGCTTACTCCTCCTGTCAATGGACTATAACCTGCTTATTCTATCTTCATGCATGCAATAATTCTGCATCAGCTTTTAGCTTAAGCGAGTGGCTAATGCAATTTTTCTCTGCCTTGATCAGATCATGTTACTCCGAGAAATATAAAATTGGAGTAGATTGAACAAATAAAAGAATTTAGAATCTCTCTAACAAATAGGCTCAAGCAATTCAAAAGAGCAACGCTGAAGTAAATTGATCAATATCAACCTGAATGTAGGAGTTAAATGTATTTGTCCAATCTAATTAAGATGAGATGCACACAGCTGGAAAGCCTCAACCAAGTGCTGGAATTAATATATTACCATGAATTATCAACAACATCGCTGGTTCAAGCAATTGAATCCTCAATATAAGAATAGATTTATCTTCCTATTCAAATATCCAACCAAAATATGATACCAAAGAGAACTCATAAATGCAGGAAACATCCGGTAAACTAATAGTATTTTCCTAGAAAGTAACTACGGTAAAATTAAAAAGAACACGAGCCTTACGTTCAGTTCTTCAATTTAACTACCTGAAACCTATAAATGAGTCAAACTCGCATTTCGATATGCATAAAAATAAATTCATATATTAGATACAGAGTTAACAACATAAAAATATCACGTGACGACAAACTGATAAGAAATTGCTACCAGTTTCTTTGCCCGCCCTCCTTAAAATCAGCGTCAATGCGCCGTTTCTTCTCTTCTCCGACCTTGGTGAGCTTCGATGAAGTTAAAAAGAAGGCAAGCAGCATAGCTCCAAATCTGTAAAACAATTAAAAAGGGACAAATAATCTCATGAATTTAATCTATACGGGACCGAGTAACTTAGTAAGTGAAGGAAAATGCATGGCAAACTTTCTCGGCAACCAAACAAACAGAAAAATCTTGAGAAGAGAATGGAACTAAGGAACCTAAATCCGACAGCGAAGTGGAGAGTCATGACAATGAATCCGGAGAGTGCTCCAGACAAGTCGAGCGAATTCCTCCTGTAAGCTCTAATCGCGATAAAAGAAGAGATTAACACGGCCATTAATGGTTGGATGAGAGCTATTTCCATTTTCAGTTCCTGCAGACGAACTTACACAGGTAATGGGTTTCAGGCGAAGAAACGGTTTTTACTCAAATGAGGAGACTCGGTTAGGGGGTTCAGGATGTTTGTGATTCTGTTTTGGTCAAGAAAAAATTAGAATTTATTAATAATTAATATTTTACTAATAATTCCATTAAGAAGATTGTCATTTATATATATTTTTATTAAATATTTATATATTCACGATAATTATAATACAAAAATTTTAATAAATATATAAATACAAAAACACAATTTAAGAATAAGTGCCAGTTGTCGTTTCCTTTTCTTTCATTGGATATTAGATTAAAAAATTAATAAAAGAACTCCCTGAAGAATTGTTCTTTTTTTTTTTTTTTTGGGGGCATTCCTTATATTCATTCACCAATAAAAAAACATGTACATGCTGAATTTTCCAACTCTTTTATTTTTTATTTTTTATTTTATCCTTTTTTTAAAAATAAAATAAATAAACGAGAATTATAAATTAATATTTTATTGTCAAAAACCTAGGAAGAAGTTATATTTACTAAAAAAGTAAATAAAATCATCATTTTTCTTTAGTTTTTTATACTTAATTTTAATAAAATAAATTATCAATTTTATTTTTTTACTTTTATATTTTCCTTTTTTGCAACTATTTGACATTAACATTTGACATATTTTTTTGAATTTCAAGAACTATAATTAAACATTTTTTTTGTTTTGACTTTTAGTCTATAGAAATTGATATGTTCATAATTTTTAAACTTAATCTATTAATTGTTAATAAACATCACAATTTAATTTTTTTTTTTTGAGCGGGAACATAACTGAACCGATTTGAGCGGGTGTAATTTTTACTATTATTTTAAACTGTAACTAATTTACATAAGAGATAATTAGATAAATAAATTTTAATTAATTCTTAATTATACGATTAGTTATAACTAATTCAATTATTTATAAACAGTTATAATTAGTTGGAATTAGTAGTAATTAGTTGACTAATTTAAATAATTACTCTCCATATATAAATACCCAAGTGTAATTAATCCATTCATTTCCTTCAGCACATTGAAGACAATATTTGCACCAATAAAGAGAGATCCGTATAACTTGTTCTAACTTTTTTTTTTTTTTTTTTTTTTAACCTTCATACACAAATACATTTTTGGGTGTTTATATATATATAAATATGTATATACATGCATGCTCTAACGTGATGAAACATCATCTGTACATGTTTATGTTAATATATGATATTTGTAAACATAAAATTAGAAGTTTTAAAAATAGAAAACAGTGGAGAGAAAAGAACTTTGGTTATATTTTTCACATTGGATGCTCACACACACAGACCTATATTGATATATGTAATAGCCTAAGGGGCGTGGGATGAACTGTTAGGATGGGATAGGGGAAATGGACGGTCGAGATGTGAAGTTAGAATGGGTATAAAACGGGCGTCGGGCAGAGAGAGAAGGGAAGAAGAGGGGAAAGAAGGGAAAAGGGAAAAGGGGAAAGGGAAAACAGAGAGTGCGGGTGAGAGAGAGGGAGACGATTGCGAGAGGCAAAAATTGGAGGCAAGTGCAGAAGGAGAACTGTTTGGAAGTTCAGGAAGAGGTGATGTCGCAGTAGCTTTGGGAGATAGAGGAGGATGGAAGCGAAAGGTAAGAGAAATTTAGAATTCTAAACTAAGTTAGGGCAAACATCGAAAAATTGTATGTTCAGGTTAATGAAGATGCTCCTCATCAAGGAGACGGAAGTAGAGGAGTTGTAATAGCTGAGGAAGTGTAAGAGAAACCGAGGTCTGGAGAGGGAGAGGGAGTACGCTGTAGAGAGAGGTGTACGGTTTGGTAGTCGGTTGTGTGAGGGAGAGGAATGAACTAGAGGTGTCGTGGGGATGGGGACGGAGCTTATGGATGAGAAGTTTGTGTCTAACCGAAAGGCGAGGTAAATGTGAGAGTGGGATGCATTGTTGTATAGGTATAAGTATAGGCGGAGGGTGACTTGTGGCGGAGGTAGGTTCAGTTGTGTGGGTAAGGCTGCTTGGCCGAGGGAGATGCCTTCTGTTGTACAGGAACGGTGGTCCGTGGTCTGTGTGTGTGTAGTTGTAGGTTGGGTAGGGGTCTTCCGAGGTCACGTATTATAGTGTGTAGGTTGGGCAATCTGTGGTGTGTGTATGTATATGTACGTAGGTGTAGGAGGCCTCTTGGCAGGTGGTTATGGATTCTAGTATGCTGGTGTAGAAATCAGTGGCACGCTATGTGTGCGTGAGTTGTGTGTGTGTGAGGCCTTTGGCCAAGACTTGCAGATATAGATGTGCTAATATGATGAGTAGTGGCATGTTGTATGTATGGTCACTTAGTGGTCGATAGAGCACTCACCCGGTCAGGTGTGTGAGAGGCTGTTTGGCCGAAGTTGGTGGAGTTTGGTGGGGCCATTCAGTGGTCGTTGCCATAGAATAGTAGTTTGTATTCGACGTTGTGGTGCGATAGTGCACGAGGCCATGTAATGGCCGACATGTTGATTGTGGTTGCTGTTTGGGCAGAGCCTCGGGATGCAACGATGGTGTGTATAGGGTCTTGGTGGACCGGTGTCGGAAAAAAAGTGTAATAGAGGTGGAGTAAATTGAGAGGGCGTATGGGCGTGGCGTAAGAACTACCAAAATGGTGTTAAGTTGGTAAGATATTACAGTCAAAACAAAGAGGTAGAGTGCATTTCCGTCCTGGGGTTAGAGAACGAGGGGGCTAACGGTAAGGGGTTAGATGGGATTAGGAGAGAGTGGTGTGGTCATTTAATAATTATGACTAGAGGAAAGCAGAATGATAGAGGTAGAGAAATAATAGTAGGGAAAGAGGTCATTTAATTGTCATTTCTTAGTTTTTAGTTCCAATTTCATCTTATTTGGTTATCTGTATTCATTACTTTCATTTCAGATGTGTTGAGACGAGAACAAAAAATGAAAAACTTAGCAACGGAGCAACGGACTTAAAAGTAACAAGATGTTATCAATTATAATAAGACATAGTAGCATATTCACAGTATTGAAACTTTTATGTGTACGGTGATAGTTAGAGAGTTTCTTTGATTATAGAATTTATGATTGTAACAAGAATTGATTTTTTTATGAAGTAATGGACATGCAATTTGGTTGAAAATTATAAATATTTTGTTAGGGATAGAATGGTGAATAGTGTATAATTCCACAGTAAAAACTGCACAAGGATGTTACAATATAACTAGACATATTACAAATTGTACATACATGCATGAATAGAAAATGAAAGAAATATTATTATTTCTCAGTTTTGGGCACAGACTATTATTTTCCTTGTTCGATTTTCCTCAGAAAATAAGTTATAACGTATTTAGTACTTTACTTTTAGAGTGCTATCTGTGAAAATTAAATATCTCTTTACCAAATTAATTAACTTTGTGAATTTTCAAGAACGGTTCTGGTCAGGCCGAAAAGAAAGATCCTCTCTGAAACAAGCAATAAACTCTTCATAAAAAACATAAGTTAGGCGCCAGTCATACTCTGTCCAAACCCACAAGGGATGAATAAACCTAACACCAAACACCACATGGTTGCCTTACATCAATGAGACAAAAAATTAAAAGCAAAACATACTTGTCATAAAAAAAAAAAAAAAAAAAAAAAAAAAGTATTCATACTATTTAATAAAATATTTTCATTTAGTATATAAAAAAATATAACTAATATTGTTTAAAAGTTGAAGTATATTGATATGTTTCATAATAATTTTTTTGGAAAGGAATGTGAATATTTGCCAAGTAATTATAACCAATGAGTAATTCCTTTTTTACTTCCCCTAAAAAAGAAGTTTGGTTGCTTCAAGAAAGTAATCATGTAGCTACTTTCTCAAAATCGTCAAATTTACTTTTCTCAATTGATAAATTTTGGAAAAACAACAAAAATACATTTAAAAGAACACATTTTCTATTAAAAAAGAAAAAAAAAAGTGTGTTAAATCATTAACAGAGTGATTCTTTAGTCACTGATTAGGTCGTTAAGGTGAAAGAGAAAACTGTATTGATTTTGCAAGTTTACAAGGTGGGTTACCAGAGAAGGCAACTCAACCAAATCTTCCCCGTCCCCTCCCTCTTCCTCTGCTGCCCCTGCCCCTTCCCCTTCCCCTACCTCTCCCTCGATGTTCTCTTCCAGTAAACATATCCTCATCTCTTTTCTCATAATTAAACATGTTTATTTTAATATTCTCTGCCTCAGTGCCATGCATTCTCTGAACCTGACAAGATAAATTACCCAATGTTAGATATAGACAACTGTTTAGGAAACAAAAGAAACAGTTAAGGCCACGTTAATACACTAACATGAGAATCTTCCAGATCAAGTTGGTTTTGAAGCTGCCATGCTAGATACTCATCATGACTTGTATCTAGCAGAACATTTTCCTTTACAGGCATTGCCCCGGCTTTTCTTTTTTCCCACTCATCTAGAGTGAAAACTGCTAGCTCTTCTTGTTTTCCCTTCCCCTTATGCCTTCGACCTCTAAAATATTGGCCATCCTGGCTTGGTTGATTCATCTTCTGGAGGAGTTTTTGAGAAGCCGCTTGGTTTTGGACAGGAACAGATTCAGTTAACTGTCACCAGAAAAAGTAAAACATGAGTATCACAAGCCCAGATGAACTAGGTGCACATATTTTACTTTCTATAACCATTAGCATCTTTTCTTAAGCCATAAGCACATATTGACAAATAAAATGGCATCACTGAGACAATCTCAGCATTTGCTTCCTAAGATAGATTTAATGCTTAATCTCTTTTTTAATATTCATACTATTTTGCAAGTATAAGTGGTAGTTCCTTGTATTTGCACATAGCATAATTGAAAATGACATAAGATGTTTGATCCTGCCTTTCAATCCCCTTGAGTATAATAAAAAAGACTCTTTTTCAGAGCAAAAGTATTATAAAACCATTTTTTATCCCCTCCTTGGTTAAGAAGTTATCGATGAGCAAACGGCCATCCTTCCAATTTTTTCCCATCAAATCAAAATACCCACATTTATCACAGACCTAAAGAAATAAAAAACATTATGCAAATAATAAACCATGCCATAACATTCAGCAAGATAGAAAATAATGTTGTAAATAAAAACTGAAGTTGCACCTTCCTTCACTCTTGTCTCAGAGCTGCTTGGCTTCTCTTCAGCTCGTTCTTTAGCGGAACAAGTTCTTGTGTCACTGTTCATGTTATCTGCTTTCAAATGAATACTGTGTTGTCTGCTAGTTTGACCAGCTTCACCACTTCCAACAGTTTCTGAGGCTGTAGGCACACCGACTTTGGAAATAACCCCAGAGTAATCTGCAAATAATAACTTTTGCTACCAGTTAAATGGGGAATATTCTTGGTAGCGTGTAGATGCAGAACTATATATCTATATATATATGAAAACACAAACTCTTACGCAAGCAAATACAATGGTGAAGGGCTAAAGTAGGATCAAAATAATGTCAGAAAGTGTCCGGCAACCCAACCACATTAAATGTGATGGATCACTATTGTTAGAATCTTATTTCAAAGATTCTCTTATCAAACATTTCATGATAGAATTAAGCTTGAATTTTTATCACAAATTGCTAAAGATGATAAATGTCGTACAAACTATGCCATGCAAAAGTGATTATAATAAGACAACAACAATAGGACATATTGACTTGAAACCCTGCTCATAAATGTCTCTACTTATAGAAAACAATGTGAATGGACACCTTTATATCTAGATAGGTTAGTACATATTATGTCATTCACAGTGAGAATTTGATCTCATTAAACACTGTCATAATGTACAATATATTATGTTGTGTCGATGCTTTTTACCAGAACAAATTCGCTACATTGACTTCACTTAGATTCTTGCATGAAATTTTTACAGCATGTGCATCAAGCATCAAGTACAATCAAGAAAGGTTTCTAAACCCCACAACAGACAGGTTGCTGGACCATATGATAAATTGCAACTACAACCTATGCACAGCAAGAGTAAACATATTATAGTAAATATTCACCAGTTGTGACACAAGGAATATTCAATGTTAAACCAATTTCTAAGGTGCAAATGTATACTTCAGAGGCTCAACAATCTAAATCTAAACCGTATCCAAAAAGATATCTATCTACCAGAACATAAATACTATGTTTGATTTTTTTCATGAGGTTAAGCTTTTAGAATAAATTACTAAACAACTTAATTATTCACATCTAGAGGCCAACAGTTCATTTCATCACAAGTTATAATAGTCATGTCCTTAATCCATGCTTTTACCTTAGCAGTACAAAGAGATGTTTTACAATCTAAAAATAGACTGAGCTCTAAAGATGAGTAATTGGTCATCTAACTCAATTATTTTGAACCATCTTTTCACTACAATCTTATCAAATTTCTATTGCAATAAGAAACAATCTGAAACCAAAGAATCCCATCATATCTGAAGGTTGAAAAGATTCAGTTCTGGAATTTGTGAAGCAATTTATGCCTATAAATTTCTCCACTGATTGAAATAAAGATTGTTAAGCAAAACATAATCAAATAATGGGAGATCCTGTGTCATGGGAAAAATATCCCAAAACAGTAGCAATACTCAACCATTAATTAATGCATCTGTTGGCTTCATTTTTCATTATAAGGTGATTATTTTAGAGTGAAACGGCAGTGTCTTCATTCCGTTATTTTGTGACTATAGAATGAACGAAATGTAGTATCGTGTAAATAAAATAAAAAAATTGATTTTGGGGAAGTAAATGCTCTAGAACACTGACAAGAAGGTTTTCCCTGATAAGCAGATTGTTGTTTAGTTGTCCCAACTTGCAACTTCTCGAATCGAGGAGGACCACCAATCTCAGTTTCATGCACTAGCCTTGCAGATGAACGGGAGAAAGTGGAATATTTCTTCTTCATCTGCCATTCTTCATAAAGTGATTGAACAACACCTCCTAAAACTGTCACAACTTCTGGAATCAAACATAATATACCACTATTTATTGCAGCTTTATTTTCCAGACGCACCTGCCAGCCAGCAAACAGGAAATACAAACAATACTTAATTGTAGATAAGAATCCAAAAGTTTTCCAAATAGACAAAGAAATAAGAGGAAAAAACCAAAGCACAGGACAGCCACTCCTACACATTGTCCCTTTGGCAAGAATTTTAAAAGTCCTTGAATAGGGCTGCCTAAAATGAAAGATTCAACAAATCCATTACATATTTTGTGTTCTGACTATTCGGACTTGTTAGTTAGGCCATCCACGTAAAATTAAATAAACATAATTAATAAAATTCTTCTCTCGAACTTCCTAAGTTAATTTACTTCAAAAAATGCAAGGAGCAGCAGAACAATGCAGAGGAGCTCAAAATACCTTAGTGCCAGGAACAACATCCGTGGGAATTGATGGTATGTGAAAGTACTCCAATGCTGTTATCTCAGATTGCCCATCTGTAAGTGTTAATCTTAATAGACGC